ACTTGCTATTTGATAGAGGCCTGGTGAGCAGGCCCGACTCGCTATTTGATAGAGGACTGGTGAGCAGGCCCGACTTGCTATTTGATACAGGCCCGGTGTGCGGCAGGCCCGACTTGCTATTTGATAGAGGCCTGGTGAGCAGGCCCGACTCGCTATTTGATAGAGGACTGGTGAGCAGGCCCGACTTGCTATTTGATACAGGCCCGGTGTGCGGCAGGCCCGACTTGCTATTTGATAGAGGCCTGGTGAGCAGGCCCGACTTACCATTTGATACAGGCCCGATGTGCGGCAGGCCCGACTTGCTATTTGATAGAGGCCTGGTAAGCAGGCCCGACTTGCTATTTGATACAGGCCCGGTGAGCAGGCCCGATTCGTTATTTGATAGCTTTTTAGACTGTTGAGTGAATAGGGTTAGTGTGCAAGCCATTGACTGGTTAACAGGCCTTTCAGGGTATGTGGACACAGCAGCTAATCACCAGTAAGCTAAAAGAGAACAGGCACTTGTGCAGATGAAGCTGTTGCTCCTTCCTGCTTGCAGGCAGACTGCTCTTTCTCTCTTTGAATGCTCTGGTGTGCTCCAGCTATCTCACCAAGCCTGGGCCCTCTGTAAGCCAGGTCTGCTTCCTGCTGTGTTCCTCTAGGATGTTATGCTCACGGTCTGCCTTTCTTCTGCCCAGGCCCCTGTACGTGACTGTGGTGTACCAGGGGAAGACGTCTCACTGCATGAGAATCGGAGTGGCCGTACCTCTCCACAGCACTGTGTTCCACTTGCGAGAAGCTATCTCCGTGGAGACCAAGGTGCCCCCAGACCAGGTAGTTTGTCTGACTACTACAAGCTGGCACACCATAGCAGGTAGGGCTTAGATAAGCAGATCTATGGCCTAAGGATTGGCACAAGATACTTAATGTCAACAGCAACAGTTACTGTACATATCCGGGTATATGAATGCACAGGTGTGTGTCACTGTGGATAAGGGTTGGGTTGAGTTGGGTGTTTGAACCCCACCCTTCGTGTCGGCATGTGCTGCTTTTGTGTTCTCCTTCTGGGGACTCTGGTTTGCTCCTGCTGTCCAGAAACATGTGGTTTAGGCCACCTGGTATGTCCAGTAGGGGTCAGTGTGTGCCTCACTGGCCAGGGCACTGTGTCTCAGACACTTGCCGGCTCCAGTGCCACAGTCAGCACTGTGACGTCACCATTTTGCCCCTGAATAATGTCCTTAACCCTATTTGCTTTAGGGAATGTGCCATCTTGCTTTATCGATACTGTACGTTGCTTCAGTTAACAGCATAAAAAACAAAAAAACTGCACATGTATCTCTCGTGCGTGCAGGCATTTGTCCTGTCCTACCTAGGGCAGGCTCCTCCCCAGCCCTGTCCTGTAGGTGGGCTCCCCCCCCCAGCCCTGTCCTGTAGGTGGGCTCCCCCCCCAGCCCTGTCCTGTAGGTGGGCTCCCCCCCAGCCCTGTCCTGTAGGCGGGCAGTGGATGGATGGATGGTTCATTATTATTATACTTGTTGTTATTTAAGGCTAGAAAGGGCATTTTCATCACTTACATCATTCTGTTGATTTGGATAAAAGTTGGTTAAATACTCGAGCTTTTATTTGCACAGCAATCACACATTTTCTCAGGGGAATCTTCTCCTGGTTTCACTTGATGTTAAATGTAGTAAACTTTAGTGTAAACATTTGAACTTAAGTACAGGACCTGCTGCTCTTTTCGACCTGAATGTGCCCCGGATGACTCTGTGAGCAGAGACCTTTATCTGTGAGCTAGACCCCTTTTGGTCAGACGGGGGCCCTCGTGGCTGCGTGCCCAGGGGCATGAAGGGTCCCCTATTGTGTCCCTGCCGATGGTCAGCAGTCTCATTGTGCCGCGGCGTGACAATGGGTGACACTATCACCCCCACCCAGCTCCAAAAACCATCAGTATTCATATAACTGGGCCCTGGACAATGGTTTGATTTTGGTATTTATACTTTGTGTTTATTTCTTGTGGAAAAACCCACCTCTTGTACCGTTTCTCTACCGAACAGTGTGTGGGCAGAGTTGTTTCAGGCTGTTCTGATTTTATTTTATCTTTGTTACGCAGATCGTCTTGTGTGAAATGTATTATGACGGCTTCCAGCGCTCATTCTGTAACGACAATGAGGATCTTAATATCATTCAAGAAAGCGACTCGATCTTTGCATTTGAAACGCCGGAAACTTTCAGACCGGAAAATGCTTGGGCTCAAAGAGGTATTCGTTTGTCTACATGGGTTTTTTTTTTTTGTTTTGGCTCATTTGGTTTTTTGTTTTTTTTTTTTGTAGTTATTTATTGATTCATCCATTAAATCATTACAAAGTTAGTTTTTTTTTACTCTGGATATATAGTATTTAAGTAATTGTAAAATGTCATTTGTGTCATTGTAGAGTGAAATATTTTCAATTGTTACAAAAAATATTTTCTACCCTTGATAATTTTCTAAAAACTCATTCTGATAATTAATAATATAGCTTTACAGTCCTCTTGCTATTAGGCCTCTAGATTCTTGTACAGTTGATCACTGCCTTACAGTACCTCTATTGAAGTGTAATGATTCACAACATGAAACTTGAACATCTGCTTTATTTTAGGAAGCCTGCAGACAAACCTAAATCAGAACAACTTGAAGTATTCAGCAGAGAACAACAGGACGGCCTCGTTCATGCAGGGTGCGGTGTCACCCAATAAGAACTCTGACAAAATCATCTTGCTGGTGTGCAACAGGACCTGCACTGGCCACCAGGGCAGGAGGTACTGGGGAGGACTGGGCCGGCAGGCTTAGCCACCACTCAACCTGCACCCGCTCATCATTCTCTGGAATGTTAATCACTTACTATATTGTCCCTTCTAAAGGCCAGTCTTTATACCAAAACACTGAAGTCACTTAGATTTTTAGCAATGTTGACGTATTTCCTAAAATTTTGAATTTAGTGATTGTCATTGTCATTGTCGACACACCACAGTGCACAACAACGAAATATGTCCTCTACTTTCGTGACATAGCAGGGGGCAACTAATTCAGCACCCGGGGAGCAGTGCTTGGGGGTGGTACCTTGCTCAGGGTACCTCAGTGGTGCTTTGCTGGTCGGGGATTCGAACCTGCAATCTTTCAATTACGAGTGCGCTTCCCTAACCATTAAGCCACCACTGCCCAAAAAAGGCCTGTTATTGATCCTCTTTGTGGCCTTAAACTCTAAATGCATTATGGGAATATTGCAGGTTCTCTGTCACACCACTACAACACCGTACTGCAGTTTCATGGGCCATTCCACATAGCTTAGGTCTGCTTTACAGCCAGTGGTCAGTAACGGTGCTTAAGGCCAGTTCTTGCTTCACTTTTCTGCATGCTGTTATGGTTCATTCCCAGGGGTATTCAGTGGTCTGTCTGTGTGCATCCCAGATATTTTGTGCAGCAGATATTATGCGCGTCGGTGTGTGTCTACACTGCAGTGTACAGGATTTTCAAAAGCAGCACTAGTCTGGCCATTTAAAAATTTTGCAGATAAAGTTTGCCGAGCGGGATGGGAGGGGTCCCGGCTAATTTTGTTGCACTGATTTCAAAATGGCATGAAATGCCATATTACCGCACTATAGCCCAAGCCGAGTAACAACACTAAAACTGATGCTGAAGGGTTTGCCCATTTCAGTACACTGTACACTGCTTCTATTTGTATTTCTGTTTGTTGCAATACATCTGCCCTCTGCTGGTCTGGAGGAATATCATTGCTGTACACATGCACTAACCGCGACAGTCTGCATCAATGAACAAATGTAGCGGGTACACAAGAGTCTGCATATAAGCATGTGTGAACCATAATGGTGTAGGAAAAGTGAAGTACAAACTGGGCTTCCGGAATATCGCATTCATCTGTAGCCACTATACTCTGATGCACCTCTAGTCTTCCTCATTCCTCTAATAATTCCATAAAGGTGGCGTTAGTTTTTTAACAACGGAGGTTGTGTCCTCTGCCACTCTGGACGGACGGCCAGGCCACCGGAGTGCTGAGCGCCCCCTGCTTCCTCCGCAGGTTTGGCCACCCGTTTGTGCTGCACCTGGAGCGCACAGTGTCCTGGGAGGGGTTCCAGAAGGAGATCCTGGAGAAAATGAAGCACCTGTTGAGACCAGGGGTCGGTGCAAAGGTGAGCAGGGGGACATATCACAGCTCATCCATTCATCCATCCATTCTGTAAATGCTTGTCCTGGTCGGGGTCACGGGCACCTTGGAGCTGAGCACCCAGAACGGAAGGTCAGCAGGGATCCCGCAGGGTCATAAAAAGTCTTAAAAAGTCTAAAATTCAGAAAGTTAAATTTAAGGCCTTAAAATGTCTTAAAAATGCCCAGATTTTCATCCTAGGTCTTAAATTTAATTTACCCAAGTCTTAAAATTCTTACTTCCTTTCTACTTTTACAGAGCTTTTCATGGAGTTACCTTGTGAATGTCTTAGTTTCCAGCATATAGTTTTTAGTTGTTCGTGTGGTCTTGAGGAGAACGTTTCTCGGTCTCCTTATGGTAAAGCAAGGCAAGTTTTTATTATCATACACGGGTTATTTTTACGGAGCCCCTAAGGGGACAAAGGAGGAGGGGAAAAAAACGGCAGAAGAAAAAAAAAAAAAGTTATGTTTTGCGTTATAACCCAAAACCTTTGTGTTATAACCCAAAACTTTTCTGTAGTAATGCAACAATAAAATCAGGTGACTAGCGTACTTATGGTCATTCAAGTGCAACTTCCAAAGCCGCATGTGGTTGATCCCCGCTGCGCTTATTAATCTAATTTAACGGTTAAAAAAACTTCAGAGTTAAGTGTGGTAAGATTTGATTGTTTAATTCATAATTAGTAATTTGTAAAGTAAGCCTTGGTAAAGTTTCAGTAACATTGCTAATTAATGCTAATCTGTTGAGGTTGATTTAACCCTAAAGAATTGTTCGTTTTTTGTTGTTGTTTCATGTTTATAATAAATTCTTAAATATAACTTAATGAAACCTGCAAGAACCCTGGTCAGTCTCAGTCCCAGGACAGACACACAGACAGAAAGAGAGAGATACACACACACACACACACACACACACACACACACACACACACACACACTATGGGAAAAATCTTAATCCCAACTATGAGGACCCTAACCCTAACCCAGCCCTAACCTTAACCATAAGTAACCAAACAAAACACAAGACGTTTGGCATTTTTAGTTTTATGATTGCAGCCAGGTATTTTTTAAATTGAGCTTCCCCTTGTGGGGACCAAAAAGGTGGTCCCCACAACATCAAAATAACAGGTTTTTGTCTCATTTTGGGGAAATTTGGCACCTACAATGTAATGTATACATAACCCACAGACCACTACATGAGCCATTTAAACCGCTGTTAGCCGCTATGCTGTCCGTGGGATAATGTTTCTCACTTGGAGGTGTAGTGCTGCAGTGTGGAGAATCTGGGTGGCACTGCGACCATGTCACTGCACGTCGATGTCGTGTTAATGCAGCTGCAGTACTGATGGGTCGCTTGTGACAGTTCAGGACTCGAATGGTGGAGGAATGGCGCTGGACGCCCATGCCGATTCTCCCTTGTCTGCAGGTGGGCCTCTTCAGCTTGCGTGTGGTGGGGGTGGTGGGAATCACCTACCTCCTTCCCCAGGAGGAGCAGCCGTTGAGTCACCCCACTGTGGAGAGGTACTGTAAGCTCCCTCCTTCAGATCCATGTCCCGAGTCTTTCCTTTCCAGAGGTGCTGTGCTTCATCTTCCCGTGTCCTTTGCCCCCAAAAAAATATTCAAGATTTGTTGCAGTTTCCTTGTGTTCTGCACAGTTGAGTTCAGCTAAATTATGCAAACAATCATTCTTGACTTGTGACACATCACCCCAAGGTGAAATCACTGCAAGTTGCCATTAACTCTAGTTGCTAACTGTGAAAAAAAGCAAAAAAGAAGAATGCAGCCTAAATCTTTAAATGTTTTTGCAAAATGTCAGTTTAAAGCTCTACCAGCTACAAACCTTAATGAATCCAGTGTGACTTATGCCTGATCCTGATGTCACAGCTCGTGTGACAAGGGCCGAGATAAATACAAACCGAAGCTGGGAGGGTTTAAGGCTTCTCTGTCCTTCCTGGGCTTTTGGCAGTGATAAGTCTCCTAACCTAATGGAGTCCTTAAGGCGTCTGTTGTTATATCATTTACTGCTATGAGTTTTATTGTTGTTCAGTGTTCTGGGTAATTTTTAGGCACCTATTTCCTGTGCGAACGGACTCCTGGTTTAAATGGGACGGCCGTGTTCGTTTTCACTCACTTTGTGTAAGCAGAAATTGTCACCAAGGGTTATTTATTTAAATCATTATCCCACATGAGGTGACCGGAATAGCTGCTCGATTTGGCTATTTTATCTGCTTCTCCTGATTGAGCTTTGAACCTGCAGTAGAGCCCCTGTCCTAGCCTGTCCTCGGTGTCCCCCTGTCCTAGCCTGTCCTCGGTGTCCCCCTGTCCTAGCCTGTCCTCGGTGTCCCCCTGTCCTAGCCTGTCCTCGGTGTCCCTTGTCCAAATGCTGGATATGGGTGGTCCTTTGTAAGGCAACCTTTATGAAAAAATTCAAAGCAGTATGCATAGATGAACTGCTGTCGATGTGCTTCACAAGCTGCTTGAAGATTTAATGTCACGTTAACATAGATTTTTTGGCACTGGGCCTTCTTTAGCTCTTGTTTCTTCTTTGGGAATGTTGTTTCCAAGCTGTTGTGACCAGCCATGGTCTATGAAGTGTAAATGGCTTTTAGTCATTAGTTGGGGTCTCAAGGCATATTTGCGCATTGCTCAGTTCCTTCTGGGGTCTCTGGGCATGTTTGTACACTCTTCAGTTCCTGCTGTTCCTGCTCCTCTTGCCTCTGCAGGGCCTACAAGGCCTGTGGGCTTGGCGGACCCGCCCATGTCAAGGTCGTGGTTGAATGGGACAAGGACACCAGGGATTAGTAAGTAGCTGAAAATACCATAAATGACCCTCAGTTAAAAGCCCATGACCCTGTACTGGAGATAAGCATTTGGAAGATGGATTTTGCATTTTGGGTATGGATCTTCTGGTGTATTCTTCTTGACATCATTCAAATGCAAACCCTAGATTTATTGACTAATTAATGGCTTTATATTTATATGTGTTTACAGTGGCTATGTCTCCTTAAAGTTTTACAGGTATAATTATTATTTATTATACCTGTAAAAAATAATTTAATTGTAAACCATGTGGTATAATGGTTAGGGGTCAGGACAGTGTTATAATTCTCACATGACTCAAACTCACTAGTTACCCTGAATTGCTTCTATAAATAAAAAGCAAATAAATAGATGCAGGTGTATAAGGAATGTGTGCGATAAGCTAGCTGCTTAAAAGTAGTCTTTGATTTATTTCTGCCTTGCCGTGACTCCGTGTGCTCACACAGTCTGTTCGGGAGCCTGGAGGAGGAGTACATCCCGGACGCGGAGAGCGTGCGGCTGCACCGCGAGCTACACAGCCAGCCCCAGGCTTGCAGCCTGGCACAGTGCCTCCAGCTCTACACTAAGGAAGAGCAGGTCAGGCCGGGGGGGATGGGGGGGCAGAGTCGCTTTTCTCTTCATCATCTTTGTCTTTGCAGTTATGTCCTTTGATTTCATGCTTATGCAACACACACACACACTTAAAAGGTCTTAAAAAGGTCTTAAATTTAACTTACTGAAACCTGCAAGAACCCTGGTCAGTCTCAGTCCCAGGACAGACACACAGACAGACAGAGAGAGAGAGAGACACACACACACACACACACACTTATATCTTTGTGGGGACTTCCCATTCATTTCTATGGGGAAAACTCTAATCCCAACATGACGACCTTAACTCCTACCCAGTCCTAACCTTAACCATAAGTAACCAAACTAAAGACTTTTGGCATTTTTACTTTTTTTATTGCATTCAAAGATCTTTGTGGGGACCTGAAAAATGCCCCCCACACCGTCAAAATAACAGTGTAAAGGTATACCAAATCAATTAAAAATATTTTTTTTTTTGATAAGCAAACACCAACTCTGGCATACGACAACAGTCCCAGACCACTATATTTTATAACTGTACACGTTTATATATTTATAACATTTGTAACAGACAAGGGCTGACCATCAAGTGGGAAAAACTCTGTCATTTTCTGAGTAATGTCTTTTCATTTCACCCAGTCTGCACTGAATTTTCTTTTGCTGTCAAACATTTGTGTTACCGATGGACTGGCGCTGTTCAGCAGCACTGCAACCTTTTTTATTGGGACAGATTTGTTAGTCAGAAACTCTCCACTGTCTCGCCTTAAGGTGACCAATCAGATTTTTTAGTGTTTAAATTTTAATTAGTCTAGATCCTTCTTGTGAAATTTTAGCAATGTTTGCAAAATACATACCTAATGTTGTTTTTGCCAAAGTTATAATAATCCCAACCCAGCAGACATTTTTCTAACTGTTTAGTACCCAGGTATGCAAAGCAATATGCATCAGCATTTTAAAGGAAATTATTGCAGGTAAATATCGGGTTGTTTTTAACCATCGGCCAATGGCCGGTTGTTGCTGTATCGGCTGATACCGATAGTTGGCCGATGCGATCGGTGCATCTCTAGATGTAACGGCATAAAATTCATGGTTCAGTACAAGCTACGGTTTTGGGTTAGTGGTTTGAAGCGGTACAGTAGGGAAAACGGAATTTATTTTGTAAACATTTATTGAACCTGCAAACAGAAACACATTTAGGAACAGCTGTAAACCAAGGCAATTGTAAACCATGTAAATGAACAAATATAATAACATCATAACCATTATAAGGAACCAAATACTGCATAAATCTGTTCCAAACTACCGAATACAGTTGCATATCTGTAGCAATAAATGTGACCCGTAATTATTATTTACTGACAAAAGCCCTTAAATGCTACTGGAGACCTAAGTCAGCACATCTGTCTACAACAAGACCTAACCGATACTTATATGTGTATTTTAAACATATAAATGTAAAATAAATTCATCAAAAATATAACAATCATAATGAACGAAATCCTGTGTTCTATGAGTATGATCACATATCTCTAGTGACAAACGTAGTTATTTTTTAATCCATCTGAATTTCCTTCACCTTAGATGCTACGAGGAGATTAACTTGCTGATGCAGTTTCTGGCTTGTTGAGTTGTACTCATTATCGGATGCCGTCTTCTCATATGAGTTAGCATGTTGGATGTGTTTCCAGTAACGTATATGAGTTTGGTGTAACAGAGATGACAGACAATCTTAGTCTTACAAACTGCTCTCTCCATTTATGGTGTAATAAATGTTCTTAAACTGCTAACCAAAGGTGGATAGTTCAAGTCCAGATTTGTTTCAATCACCTAGTTGAGTACTCTGTGACTGACTGTTTATACTCAACCGGTTAACTGAAACAAAATCTTTTACTATCTGGACCTCCAATGACTGACTCTGTCCAGCATTAGCTGTTGCCAACTCACAGCCCCAATTAGCATAATGTTTTCGCCGTTGAACATCCGCTTTTGAATTCATGTTATGGTGCACAAGGGGAACATTCACATAACTCCTTCCTCTGTAGCTTTTCATCATGCTGTTTTTAGTTGTTCATTTATCTATGTCCTATAAATCCTCTTTGTTAATGCATTTGAGTAACTCGCTCATTCCTGTATTTCTATCTTAAGCGATTCCCCCATTAACTCAGTTTCACACACATTGTTTTTTTCTGAATCAAGTTAATTCCTGTTAAATAAGACTAACACTCTTCCCGAGGTTATTCTCTCATTAGGACACTTCAAAACTCTCAACTTGTGTAAGGGTCTGGTTCTGTGCTGTGGGATGCCCGATGGCCAGATCGGGCCAGATAAACATCCCCAGGCTTCTATGTCTGAGTTTTGCCACAGAGACCATGAGCACTGGTGTGCATGTCGCTTTAGCGTTGATGCTGAGGATCATCCTTTGTGCTCCAGCTGGCCCCAGATGATGCCTGGCGCTGTCCCCACTGCAAGCAACTGCAACAGGGGCGTATCAAGCTCAGTCTCTGGACCCTGCCGGATGTCCTCATCCTGCACCTCAAGAGGTTCAGACAGGTACCAAGCCAGCAGAGCAAACACTACATGTTTTCCCTTGGGGTTTAACTCTCTGGGGTCGAGTATGTCGTCGACGACATCGCGTACTTTTCGCGTCTATTTCAGTTTATATCTCGCTGAAAT